AGAGTAAAGCGTGGAGGCATTTTAATTTTCATTGTCAACACTAATGCCTGCTCCCAACAAAGATGTGCAGTGCTGTCAAGGACTGATCTCCATAGCTCCATCTCCCTCAGCTAAAACACTAAAGTGCCATAAAGCCTCACCTACGATTGCAACAGCAACAGCAACTGCAAGAGCAAGCGAATGCTATCCTTTTCTGTTGTTGCATGTTCCTGTAGCAGCTCGTAGCTCGTTGCATCCTTATCAGCAGCATCAACAAGGTAATTGGAAAGAGGAAATACTGTTGCCTTATCCTGCCACTGTGCGGCCCTAGGCAGCTGATTCTACCTTACCTAAGTCGGGTCTACATAACCTTCTGCGGCTGTTTGCCAACTTTAATATCATGATGAAGGATTTTTATTGCAGCTAAAAGAATGAGTGAAATTTAATTTGATAAGGAGAAAATCCAGAGACGGAAATACTTATTATAAATATGCAATGTTGATATTTTTGTTATATCTTGAAGACTTTAGTTTCTTCTTTGATTTGTTAAAGAGAACTTCTAGATATGGAAATTATTTTTATTAAATATTAAATATTATTATTAAACATATTTTATATTTAATCCGAATCTTCGTTATATCCCAAAGGCTCTTAGGTTTCGTCTTCAGTTTGCGAATTTTATTATAAAAGAAGGAGATTGTTCTGACTTTTATCGGAACGAATGAAAATTAATTTGATAAAGAGAAAGTCTCGAAATGGAAATTCTTTTTATGAAATATTAATTATTATTAATATTTGCTGTATCCCATAGGTTTTTGTCTTTCTTTTTCAGTTTGCATAAATTAGTTCTCAAATGTAGTCTTTGTTTTGCAATATTCAGAAAGAGTAAGATATGTAGAGTATTCGCTGGTTTGGCATGGCTTAGTGAAGCACTTACAGACTCTTTGTTTAACGTCAAAAGAGTAAAAATGTAGAAAAGTGAGGGAATAATTATGCTGCGTTGTTTATGAGCAGCGAGTTGAACTTCAGTTTAACTGCGGCCCTCGAGAGGCTTTTTGCAAGCAGCACTTGAGGCAGATGTTGTTGTTGCTGGTTGGCGCTGCCTTTGCCTTTGCCTGTGCCTGTGCCTTTGTTTTGGCATACATTTTTAAAGACATTGCATACTTGGAGGTCTTTGTCAGAGCTGACGATGCTCGCATTAAGCGTTATTCAAGCCACTGAATAGGGACGAGCGCTTTAAGCCGCCATTTGTTGCCAACGCGTGCAGTTAATTTCGCAAATGAATCTCGCGATAATAGGGTATGGTATACCCGCTCTGAAAGTTCGATGTATGAAGGAAATATATACTGTATATATTATATATGTATATATGTACATACATATATAATAATTGCATTTCATTTCACATCAGATGCGGGCATGCTTGCGGCATGCAAACCAAGCCAAACCAAACCAAATAATTACAATTCTGTTGGCCATTTGCATAAGGCGTTGCATTCCCTTAATGCACTTTGCAGCCAAATGGATTCATTCACACCGAATGCAGTGTTAATAAATTTAACTCGTCGGCAAAGCCAATTTGAGTCGTTCCAAAGGTAAATGAATGAAGAGCGATATGTGCAAAGGATTTTACAAGCTTAAAAAAGATTAAATCACATTCATTTAATTTGATCTCAAGATAAAATCAGTTCGTATTCTTTAAATATATTTAATAAACAATTTGTGATTTAGCTTTTATTAAATTGAGGTCTCTTATAAAAATAAGTGAATATTTATTAAAATTGAATAATAATAATTTAAATAAAATGGAAAGAGACATGCGAAGGAAAAAAATTTATCAAAATAAATATAATAATTATAATTTCAATTTTGCTTAGTTGTTTTTTTTTTTTTAATTTTTTTTTTTTTTTTTTTTCATTAAACTCTTACTCTTAATTAATCAATATGACTCCAAAATATTTATTCGATATAGTAAAGCGAGCAACATATTTTGTATGTCATTAAAAACAAATAAGCTAAATATAATGGAAAGCAAAATATAGTTAAATCAAATAAAGTGTTCTACAGAAAGAGTTATTAAAATGAATAAATTTTTGTTTCCTTTTTTATGAAAAGCAACTGAAATAAATTTCAGTGCAATACTTTTTTTTTGTTTTTGTGTATTTTTTTGTGAGGTATATCTGGAGCACTTTGCGTTGTCAGCGGCAGAAACCATTTAGTCTTACATACACCCAAGTGCAGACTAGGTTAAGAAACAACGTTTTTTTCTGTACGTTATTTATTTATCATTATTATTATTTTTTTCTGTGGTTGCACTGACATTTCGTGTGCACTTTGTGTGAATGCGACTCGTTCTTGACATGCCCCCAGCTGCACATCGACTATTATGTTACGCCTTTGCCTACTTCGTAGTGCTTTCTTCAGGCTTGCACTGCGAGAAAAATGGAAATGCAGAAAGGAAACGCAGCTGACAGCCGCTTTTCTGCGGGCGTTAACCGGGCCCATTTGTTGTTGACTTTGTGCTCCAGTTGCCGCCGCGATTGTGGCTTGAGGAAAAAGAACTCTAAGCGCTGGAGCAGATGAAGAAGAGTCGGGTGTTAGAGCGCGGCATATTTGGCTTTGTGGCAACCATCATTAAAGTAGAAACTAAAACAGCCACAGCAGCAAATGGAAGTAGGCATAGCCACAAATACGCAAACACTCACACACACACACACACACACACATGCATATTCACTAAAAGCTTTAGCTCGCAAACACACACACAGTCTTACATTAGAAATAGCAGTGCCACGCCCCCTGCCACCAGCGGCTCTGTTTTGCAATTGCAACTGCTGGCTTTTGACTCCTGTAGCCTTCTTTTTAAGCTGCTAACTGCTGCTGCCGGCGCCTACAAAGGCATCAGGCTTAATGTGTTTTGGCATCGGTTTTCAAAATGCATAGCTAGTTGTTCTCTCTCTCTCTCTCTCTCTCTCTCTTTCTCTCTGCTTCTCAGCTTCTCTCGGCTTCTGCTCCGGTTAACCACAAAGGCAGCCTCAAGCAACCAAGTGTCAGACTGTTTACGCAAAGCTGCCTACAGCCTACATCACTGCAGCTATATCTATTGCACTTTTTCTTTGTTTTCTTTGTTTTTGTTTTGTGGATTTGTTACTGTTTCAGCTTTTTTGTTTGCCAACTTCTTGCACTTTGAGCTCGGCTTGCGGCTAGTTGCAACTATTTTTTTTTTTTTTTTTGTTTCTGCAATTTTTGTTTTGCCTTGTGCTCTTTGGTTGCTTGCGTTTTAGGTGTTTCCATTGTGGCGCCTGATTGTAAATTGATGAGCCTTCAACTCGTTGAGCTCTTCAAAGGACATTGGCCGCAGGAAACTGTACCACAAACCAATTTCTTGTGCTTGCCATCTACTACTTTCTTGTTGTTGCTTGAAATCAAAAGTGAATTACAATTTTCTTCTTTTTGTAGCAGGCCTACAAGATTCTACATTGCGGTGTTCTTAATTGATTTTTAAATATCGTAAACTTGCAGCAGAAATTGCCATGTGAGGCACGCCTGACATCCTCTTAAATTATACAAAAAGTGCTGGGGCCTTGTTTTATATCATTCTACTAACTATTTATGGTTAAAGCTGTCCCCATCAGTTGATTAGACTCAACAGTAGACTATATTCACTCAGTTCGACTCCCTGATCAGGAATATATTTATTGCATGGGCTCTGCCATTTCACACATATTCACATGCTCACATTTTCAATAATAATAATAATAAAATAAATATCTTGACCTTTAATTGCTATAAATGCTTCATTGATTCGTAAGCTTCGTTTAGGCTAATTTGAAAATCAAATTGGATTCACTCTAGTTGACTGATTGGATTGGCACGAAGTGTAAACGCTGTATAAATAATCCAATAAGCATATTGACCTATATACGGATACGCTAGCTACACCTGAGACTGCTTAAAATGCAGCTGATGCTGTGAGCTTTCAGCGCTTTCCACGTGTCAGTTCGTCGCTCTGTCGGTGGGTCGGTCGGTTGGGGCGCTGCACATCAATTTTCGCCCTGCGCTGGCATCGAGAAGTGTTGTTAAAAAACAACATCTCAATTTGTCTCAAGCTGTCAAGTTAACGTTGCAACAGTTTTACACTTGGAGTGTTGTAGACGGGCTGACGTCATCGCCAGTTGCAGTTGCAGTTGCTCCGCTCGCCACGCCCACAGCACTGCTTTGGTGTACAAAATGTGGTTGTTGTTTGTTGATGATGTTTTTGTCGTTGACTTTGACACCATTTTGCACTTTTCGCTGGCGCGCGCGGTCTCTCTCTTTTTCTCCAGTGGGTGGGTGGGCCAACCGGGCGCTGACAGGCACTTATTTTCTTAATATTAAGTATACGCTTAGTGTGCGCTCGCTGCGTCTAGTTCGTCGAATGCTAGTGCAGACGTAATGATTACTTTGTGTCTGCCGCTGACAAATGCCGTCAGTCAAAGTCAAAGTTTACCAGACGCCGAGCATTGGATGACAAAAGTCGTGCAAGTCCTGCCAGGAAGTCTATGGGAAAAGGGCTTGACTTTAGTGCGGAAGTCCTTGTACAAAAGGCGCATGCCATGCAATCTGCTTGTAGGTATGTGTGCTCATGTGTGTCTGTGTGTGTGTGTGTGTGTGTGTGTGTGTTGTATGTGCATTCATGTGCATTCCAGCCGATAAGAGCGCTGCGAAAATTGTGGGCAAGTCCCAAAAGTTTTCGTGCAAGTTTTTAATGACTTTTTTTTAAGCTACTCTTTTTTGCAAACTTTATTTATTGCCCAGGACTTAGCCAGAAATAAAATTTGTTGCACAATTTGATGGCTTATGTATATCTATAAATATATTTAGTTCAATGGGGGCACTTAATCAGGCGAACCTATGAAAACAACTTCAGCATTTATGAGCTTGGGTTCAACTCTCGAATCGTTTCATTACAAAGTTTTCACAGACCCCACATACAACGAATTCTATTTTTGTATATAAATAGTAATACTTTGTAGCTCCAAATGGTCGGGTCTTGCAATGGCTGCGTGATTGCCATGCGGGGCAAGGACTGCGTGGCTATTAGCACCGATCGTCGCTTCTGCCTGCCCTCGTATACGGCTGGCGAGGAGTTTGAGAAGATCTTCAACTTGGCGCCGCGCTTGTACATCGGTCTGACTGGGCTGCAGACGGACATATTGACAGTCCAGCAGCGTTTGGGCCATCGCAGGCATGCGTATGAGGTCAATACGGGCTCTCTTATAACGCCGAAAATTCTAACGGAACTTCTTTCTCAAATGCTCTACGAGCATCGCTTTGCTCCCTTCTACGTGGAGCCCATTATTGCTGGCATGGATCCATATACCCTGGAACCCTACGTATCCTCCATGGATCTGCTCGGTTGTACAATTGACTCACCTGATTTCGTTGTCGTGGGCACCTGTACAGATCAAATGTTGGGCACTTGCGAATCACTGTGGCATCCCAACCTGGATTCCGATGGGCTCTTCGAGGCGATTTCGCGCGCATCGGTCGCATCCGGCGGCCGTGATATAATCAGTGGCTATGGGGCCAGAGTTTATCTCATTGAGCATGATAAGGTGACGGTGCGTTTGATCAGAACACGCATGGATTAGTTGAGACGAACGGTTGCAAAATTGTTAAATTGTTCTATGTTTGAAAATAATTGTATAGAAACATTTTTAATATATTGTAAAAATAGTGTAAAATGTGGCTGCAAAAATATTAATGCAGTCGAAAATAGAGTACCTTTAAAATATGAATTTGTTCGACTGTACATCCAGTCCAGCTTGAAACAATATTAACTTCATTAGAGCAACATTTCATATAGAGTATAGTATATAGAGTAGAGTCTGCTCAAGGGACCGTCGTTATACCCAGTAAATTCAAAAACCGTATAAGTTTGTCTGGGGACCAGAACCGGGCGGATGCTGTAAGTGGAGTCGTTATAGCCAGATTCTACTGTATATAATATATACAATATAATATGCATAAACCTCTATTGCTTATACAGAGATTTGATTTGAAATTTGTTCAAACTCGTTTTTCCAGCTAGACTAATATCTTTTTTTTTTCCTATATAGATACTTTAACTGACAAATTCATAAATATAGCAATAAATTTTATCTCTTTGCCGTGATCTATGTCTTCCTCTGTCAGTCACTTTCCTTCAATTCTTCACATTTTCGATTACAAATTAAAAAATTTAAAGATTGGTAATGTTTTTCCCTCTCCCTGCAACATAGTTATCTGACGAGAAAATAGTTTAATTTATTTAGTTAGTTTAATAAACCTTTGCATTATGTAAATTGAGCTCTTAAAAAATGTATTTTTAAAAAAATTCATTATTTTTATATATAAAATTTCTGTGAATGGTACTTCAAATCGAACAACCGAAAATAAAGTCAAATATATTGTCAGACAGAGGAGTTGGGGCTTTGGGTGGCGCAGTGATTGGAATGCTGCTATTGTCGCATGAAAATTCAATTTCCTATCCACTTGGCTATTGATTACCATGTCCAAACGTCGCACACCACAATATCCGTTCGGGCGGTTGATATGCTGGCCTTGATGGCGGTGGAGCTGGCGGCGGAGGTGGTAGTGCTGCGCATTTCCGTTCAAGCCATGGCTTTAATTACGCGCTAACTGCATATCCTGAAATCCAGCTACACTCAATCACAATGGCCGGGCCAAATATGACAGACAGTGCTTTAGCCATCGGCCGTTGGTTGTTTGGCCTCCAGGGGGCACATCATCAGTCATGGACATATTTTGGACAATGGCATTAGTCAAAATCCAGTCGACCAATTTCTGTGCCTCATTTGCAATGCCAACGACTGTTGTGGATCTGGATTGGGACTGGGACTTGGACCCGGACCCTGGTGATAATCAATGCGATTTGGCCCGCCAGCTAAGTAGTGGCCTATGCAGAAAAACCAAGTGGAACAAGTTCTGTTGTCGAATACGCTTTGAGCTCTTTTTTCGCCGACGGCCATGCAGGATATCATTTGTGCCTCATAAGTTGCCTGCTAATGAGGCAAGTTTGGCTGCCGCTGCTGCTGCCGCTGCTGCTGCCGCTGCTGCTGTAGCATATTTGCTAACAAATTGAATGTGTCATTTGCAGGCACTCAACTTTGTGTTGGCTCCCACTCGCGCATTGTCCCTTGGTCAGCTTCCGCTGAGTATGTGCTATAATCCATATAGTATGTTGGCTGGGTTAGTAAGTGTTGCGGCCTGACTTTGCTAAATGATTTGATTGTGTGAATGAGTTATGTGAGCCATCTAAGCAACATTTGCTGTTGAGTTACGCATTTGTCTTTAATTTTTGAAGTTAGCTGTGAAAGTTTGGTATGAGAATCCCTCTCTATATGAGCAAACTCAATATGAGAAAATTGCTAAAAATTAAATCTATTGAAATATTAAATTTTGCTTCTTAATTTTTGCTAACCAATTTAAGCATTGATTGATTTTTTGCAAATGTGTATATATTGTAGAATTTTTAAGTATTTCTCAACTGTTTGTTGTGCACCAAATGTTAATGTAAATTGAAATCATTTTGCTCTACTTGCAGCTTGAGTGCGACAGCAAAGAGATTACAGCAGCTACTGAACGTTAAGTGGGCGAGTAAGCTGTGGCAGCAACAGTCAACACAGTTACACAGACAGACACGCACACACACTCACATATACAGAGGAAGGCACTCTAGAACAGACGGATAGAAAGCCACGCCTTAAAAAGCATACAAATCGAACGCACAATGAAAAACGACGTGGTGCGATGGAGCGGGCAGCCTAATAGCGACAGCATCAACAGCAACAGCAGCAGCAACAACAACAACAACAACAACAGCAGCAGGAGCAAGAATAACAGTAAATACAGCCAAGAGATAAGCAACATAAACAATGTACAGTCAATGCAACATGTTGCTAGCAAAAGAAGTTGTCAGTCAACAGCGGCAATGGCAAATGTTGCTGCAACAAGTTCAACCTGGCAACAGCAGCAGCAGCAACGGCAGCAGCAGCAACAACAAACAATCAATGAATGTGATATAACAAGTTTAAATTACAATTGCAATTTATTCAACATTAGTTTTTTAACAACGTCAACAACAACAACAAACAAGGAACACAATAGAAAAACGAAATGCATTCGCAGAAGACATTCGATTGAGCCAAAAGCGACGCAAACGCAAACGCCGACGTCGACTTCATTACGTTTGCTTTTGCAATTTAGTCTCGTAGTGTTTTTATGTAAACTTAATGTCGGTCTCGCGGCCAAAATGGAGCCAGGCCACGCCCAGTCGCCACTGCTGTCGCCCTATGTGCTGGACTATGAGAACGCTGGAGTGAGCAGCGGTGCAGGCAGCGGCGCAGACAGCGGCAGCGGCAGCGACAGCGGCGCTGGCAGTGCCAGGAACGTGCGTGAAGTGGGCGGCAATGGGGGTCACTATACGCACACCTGGGCGGTGCACATACCGAACGGTGACAGCGGCATTGCCGATGCTGTTGCCAAGGAGCACGGTTTCGTCAATTTGGGCAAGGTGAGTGAGATAATATTATCTATAATTTATTATTATTATTTTTATATTATGACATATACGTGAAATGCGTATACTTGATATTAATGATATAATTGATAATTAATGCAGCATAGTTAAAATATTTTTAAGTATACATAAAATGTTTTTAAATATTTTTAAAATATTTTTAAATAAATATAAAATGTTTTTAAATGTAAATAGCTAAAATATTTGAAAAGAAAATATAAAATATTTTATTTTATTTTTAAATAAATACAAAATATTATATATATATATATATATATATATATATATATATATATATATATATATATATATATATATATATAAAATATTAAAAAAAAAAAAATTAAATATATTCAGCATAGCAAAAATATTTTTAAATTTACATAAAATTTAAATTTAAAACAATATATATTTAGGATGTATTTCATATATTGAACGATTTACTGTTTAAAATATTTCAGATATACTTAAATATTGAGATATATTGAGATATATTAAATATATAGCAAAATCTTGCAATGCTCTCTCTGGCCCAAGTCAGCTTGAATGAAATTGGCATAGTAGACCTCTGCTTAAGCCTGTTATCTCCCACATATCAAATATTTATTGAGAATAGGTTGATAATCAAAGTGACTTGAGGTATTTGAATTGAGAAACCATTCTTAAAATCTCGAAATACAATCATCATCAGCTGAACCTTTTCGTTTACCCTGCGCAGTTTTAGTTTCTCTGCTCATCTGTCAAACAGTAAATATAACTAACATTTACAGAGTAACTAATAGCACATGCATTTAACATATAATTTATCTAGCCTGCGGCTATTCACCTGTGTCAAACAACTTTTATTCGAGGAAAATTCAATTCTTAAATAAACTCTTAGCCCTTTGATGGCTCACAGAGCCTTCAGCATTTTAGTTAGCAATTGAAATGTGAGCATATTTCCAGCTGTGCATTGCCAAGCGTTGCCCGCAAAGCAAAGTAGTTTGCATTAGTTGGGCCAACTAATTTTTGGCTCCCGTATTCGGCCCGCATCGGTTGATGCTAAACTTTTGCAATTGCAACAGTTTGGCCCGCAGCTAGAGTGGGGATGGAGGGAACAAAGGAATGTTGTGTGAGCAGGGCAGGGTTAACTTCAAGGTAGACCTTTCGTTAGTCAGTTTAGCATATCATTAGGGCACTCAAAATGTAAGACTATTAAAACTTTATGCCACACACACACACATGCTTAAACATACGTATATGTATATATTATATGTATATATATGTATATATGTTATGTAAATATATTCCATGCAGATTTGAACTAAGTTGAATTTGGATATCTGTGTACCGAGCTATGGTGCTCTGCTTTTTCTTTTTATACTCTTTCTCTCTCACTTTATACACATATATAACTGTCCTTCTCCCTCGCTCTGGTTGAGGCTGGGGCTGGACTGTGCTAGCTGCTGGCTAGCTGTTGGCCAGAGTTTCGCAGGTGTTGCAACTGCTCCATTGCTTTGGCAAAGTTTAATCTGATTTCAGTCAAGCGACAGCGATTTGCAAAAATCCCTCAACTGATACACTCTGTCACTCAATTGAAACAGAGACCAGTGGCCCGATTCTCCCTGCATCCTTGCGCTTCCCCTACCCCCCCTTGGACTAAGTAAGTGTCAGGTAACAAGCGCCAGAAGCGCAAATTGTCAGTAATGGTAGCAAGGAGCACAGACATCTATATATACCTATAAAGCGAGGGCAGTACGAAGAGTTTTCGACTGAGAATTCAAATAAAATGAATATAGAGATTTAGCTGACAATATTTAAAACTGATAAATATGAAAAAAGTATATATATATATATATATATATATATATATATATATATTCAAATCTATAAATATCGCTTCAAATAAATAAATATTATATTGTATTCTCAATGACATGTTTTATTTTAATTTATTTACACGAGACATTTTAAGCATTAAAATAAATTTTTTGATTGTAAATAAATATTGTATATTTTCTCAAGAAAATGTGACAACAAAATTAATTTTTTATTTGTTTACAAAGGTTTTTTAACATTGCATTTTATATT